TGGGAGGAAACTGGAGGCCCAGAGAAAACCCACGAGGTTGGACAGGCGACCCTAGTCCTTGTCACATACAACCGGGGAATCAAAACCATGCCAGATGACTGAATGACAGACCTTATGATACAGAGCGCACATGCTAACCATTCGGCCATCTAACCCCCCCTAGCTCTTAGAGGCCCTAATAAGTTTTTGAAAGATGTTTTGTTTGATGTTTCAGAATTCGAACTAAAATCTTTTGGAATAAACAAACAAATACTTTTGATTTTTGAATTAGTTTTTTTCTTGAAGAAATATGAAGCCAAATTTTAAAACGTTTCCAAAGAACAAAAATTTAAATTAATGTGGCGTAATATTAAAACAGTAGAAATCTGACAAGAACAGATACAGAGAGGAAGAGCAGGGATAGGCAACTCTAGGGTCTGGTCTTGTCCACCCACTCTCTTGGGAGAGGGCATGGACCTCTGATTTTAAGATGTCCTCCTCCATACAAAATCCCTGCCTGATGGTAATTAATAAAACAAGGTGAAAAATGTACACACCTTTAAACTGATATTTAAGCACAGGTATTTTATTAAAGAGCTACTGGGGAGTTAGTTATATATGATATTAAAACCTGGACCTCAGTGTTTCTGGGTAGTTGTATATGATTATAACACCTGGACCTCATGTTTAATCCATTACCTTTAATAGACTAGTAGATAAAAAACAAATTAACCTTTTATCGGCTAATAGATTTCTCCGTTTAATTTCCATTGCACCTTCCTTTATTTTTTTGTTATCGTAAAACGATTAAAATTTATTGGTCGTACTTTTAGATTAATGACATCCATTAAAAAGGCTCTTGAAGAAACAATAGAGTTATGTGTTACTAAATATATTGTATGTTAGGTGAAATCAATATACAACTGTAATTATTACCAATATCTCTAGTAGTAGTAGGAATAGTAGTAGTAGTCCATCCGTCCATTAATGCGTCTGACAAGAACAGCTGTCGGATGGGACGAAAAACCAATGTCCCGTGTAATCATTACCAACATTTCTAGTAGTAGTAGAGTATTAGTAGTAGTCCATCCATCCATCCATCCTTTTATGTGACTGACAAGGACAGCTGTCTAGTCGTTCAGATGGGACAAAAAATCGAGGTTTTGTGTACACATTACCAATATTTCAAGTAGTAGTATTAGTAGTAGTCCATCCATCAATCCATCCATCCATTTATGCGCATGACAAGGAAAGCTGTCTAGTCATTCGGATGGGACGAAAAACCAAGGTCCTCTGTACACATTACCAATATTTCAAGTAGTAGTAGTAGTATTAGTAGTAGTCCATCCATCAATCCATCCATCCAGGAAAGCTGTCTAGTCATTCGGGTGGGACGCTGAACCAAGGTTCTGTGTACAATTGGCGTGCAAGTAAAAGATCCCTTGACAGTTGGAATTCGATATAAGAGTAGGTAGTAGTGCCACTGTCCAGGCAAAATTTCCCTCATAACACACTGTATGGTGTATGCCCGTCTTCATTAGCCCAGTCAGAGCAGAACAGTAAGACGTTAAATCCCATTTCATTTCATTTCATGTATATGTCATGGTGGCCATTGCCCCAAGGTAGACTTCCACCAAGGTCCCTATTCATCCCCTCCTAAACTAAACTTTTTCCCTATTTCTACACGATTTTTAAATTAAGCAATTGACCATTCTTGCCCCTGAAATACCAGTCATATTTCAACCGGTTTATAATTGTCTACCTGAAATGTCAGGGTTTGATGATAAAATTGCCGACAGGAAGGCCATAAGGAGTATTTACAAGACAATCAAACTTATCTCTTGAAATATTCATTCATTTATCTTTGATGTAACTTGTTCAATATGAGTTTTTACGTCACAAATTGCGACATTATGGCCCAATTAAAATGTCTGCTTGAATCAGTTGTCAGATGTTCAATTTGATTTTATGATTAATGAAGGAATCGTAAAAAAGACATTTTATAGACATTGACTAATTGTTTATGGGTGTGTCATTAAGAACCTGGAGGAATATTGAAGCCTGGGTCACAGTTATGTTTCGTAGTCCCTTTTTGCAATCACTTATTTAATGCTGACGAATTGTCAAACATCATTCATAAAAAAATAAAAACGAAAGGTGTTTAACGTCCTATGTTATCTGCATCAAATTGGTCAATGGAGGGAAATTTTGCCGTGATAGTGGCCTTTCCACCTATTCTTCAAATTGAAATTTCAACTGTCAAGGATTCTTTTATGTGCACACCACAAATACACGGGTGAACCTCATTTTTTTGTCCTATCCGAATGTCTAGATGTCTTTTCCTTGCATGGTGTTCCATCCTGTACCACTGACAAGGGGAACCCAGGCTGGAAAACCTTGAGGAACTTTTTTTCAAACAATCCCTGGGGATCATGGTGGCTAAGTGGGTAAGACGCTGGCTCGCTAGGTCGGGTGATCGATCCCTGCTTTGGCCTAAAAGTTCATCCAGATTTTCCAACGTGGTTCCTCCTTGTCAGTGATACAGGACTGAGGGCCTGACAACTACAGCTGTCTAGTTGTTTGGATGGGGTGAAAAATCGAGGTCCTGTGTAAACATTGGCATGCACGTAAAAGATCCCTTGACAGTTGGAATTTGATATAAGAGTAGGCCGTAGTACCACTGTCCCGGAAAATTTCTCTCATAGCACACTGTGTGGCGTATGCCCGTCCTCATTAGCCCAGTTTGGAGCAGAATAATAGGACATTAAACCCCCATTTCATTTCATTTCAAACAATACCATAGTTATTAAAATCAATGACATGGTATGGAATTTAAATGAATGTGTCCAGACCATCGCCACATGTTTGAGCTGCACGCCTGCGTAGCAATTTGTTATAGATGATCATTAGGTGGTTTATACGAGATCTGCCCACGGGGCTCGTTAAGTTGTGTATTATTTATTAATTATGTGTCTGTCTCTGATTGTCTGATGATATGAACTAGGATATATTAATTATGAATGGTTGTTATAGAAATTAAATCATGGCTAATGAGTTATGTCAGTTATATCTGTCTGGTCTTTTTCTTATTTTTCGCCCCAATATGCCAAGCGGCAGATTTCGTTATTTGAATTTAACAAGAATCAGGAGTTAAGGTTTTTATTAAGGTATTAATTATTGATTAGATTTAAAAATTGCCTGTTTGACATGTCATCGTGAGCTTGATGTGGACGAATGGTTAGCATGTGTCTTGTATCATGAGGTCTGTCATTGAGCCATCTGGCGTGGTTTTACGATCTGGTATTTAAATGCCAAAAACAAATTAAATCTTACGACACAGTATTTACACAAAATCTTATGACCCAGTATTTACACACAACAAATTATACTATTTGCCCCCCCAAAAAAAATACAAATTAAATCTTACTACCCAGATATTACCCAAAACAATCTTACTACCTGGTATTTACTCAAAACTAATGAAATTTAAACTTACTGCCTGGTAATTACCCAAAACAAATTAAATCTTAATTATGACCTGGTATTTTTCCAAAACAAATTAAATCTTATGACCTGGTATTTTTCCAAAACAAATTAAATCTTATGACTCTGTATTTACCCAAAACAAATTAAATCTTATGGAGGGAGGAGGGAAATGGAGTTTAACGTCCACTCGACACAAACTACGTCATTTCCGGACTAATATATGGTTAATTTTATTTCATTAAGACGCTTGCGCGTAGGGGTCTTTAGCAGTGGGAGGAAACCAGAGGACCCAGAGAAAACCCACGAGGTTGGACAGGCGACCCTATTCCTTGTCACGTACAACCAGGGATTCGAAACCACACCAGTTGACTCAATGACAGGCCGTATGATACAGCACGCACGTGCTAACCATTCGGCAATCCAACCCCCCCTTAAATCTTACGAGCCGGTATTTAAATAATTAAATGTCAGTATTTTACCCAAAGTAAATTAAATCTTACTACCCGGTATTTACCCACAACAAATTAAATCTTACAACCCAGTATTTCAAATAATTAAATGTCCCTATTTTACCAAAACTAAATTAAAACTTACTACCTCAAATTTACCCAATACAGATTTACCTGAACACCGCCCTATATACTTGTATTTCTATATTTTACCACACATATTCAAATCTCCAGTGATGACTAGTAAACTGGCAGTAATGGTGATGACATGCTGGTATTTCCTCATCTTTTAAAACATCTCCTGACGTTCATATGTCGACCATGATAACACTCCTCTACTAAGATAATACAGACATTTTTACCTACTGCCTGATTTCTTCCCAAGATAAAAAACTTCCACTCAAATCGTTCTCTAGCTATTATAGACCTACATTTATAACATAAAACAAAGTGTAAAAAAGCGTTACATATAGGATATAGGTCTGTCTTCAAACTTCCACAGCGTGTGTGGTTTTTGGATTCCAATCTTTATAATATTTGTATCCAACAGATTGATAAGTGATTTTGGGGGGTCACAGAGGCTAAGTGAGTAAGACGCTGGCTCGCTAGCCTGGAGGTCGGATGTTTGATCCGTACAATAGCTGAGAAAGTTCATCCAGATTTTCCAGCATGGTTCCATCTTGTCAGTGATGCAGGACGAAGGGAAAGACAAGGACAGCTGTCTAGTCGGATGGGATGTAAAAGATCCCTAGACAGTTGGAACTCGATATAAGAGTAGGCTGTAGTGCCGCTGTCCTGAGAACCCTTAAATTCGATAAAGACTATGCGGAAACACTGTTGCCCAGGCAAAATTTCTGTCATAGCACACTGCATGGCATATACCCATCTTCATTAACCCAGTTGGTGCAGAAAAGACGGACGTTAAACCCCATTTCATTTCCTGGACTACAAAAAATATATAGGCTACGAAAAACAACAAACTAATAAGAAATGATGCATCAGTTTAATGGAAGTTCTGTGATCAAATAGTTTTCTTTTGTGCTTTATCTTCGTTTCAGACTTAAAAACTTTCTTTTGTAATTTCAGGTTCCATTAGCAGACGCCAAAAGGTCTAAAAATAAGTAGTAAGTACCACCATTTGTTACTTCACAAAACTATGTTTTCAAATTCATTTTAATTAATGTTATGTGCTTAGAAAAAGAAAAAAGAAACAACTGAAAACCTACCTGGAATCGTGTCAGCTTGTATCTTTAAGTAGTTTAACAAAACTGGCATTTCCTAATGGCTAAATAGTTCTCATATAAATGTCACCTATTATTTTGCAAAAACAACTGAAAGAAAACTAATTTCCACAAAGGTAAACAGTGAAATGGTTTAAGAATTTAAATGACAACTGCCAGTAATCCCAGTAAAAAATGTGAAAATTGTCATTTTCAAAATGGAATCAGAGTTATGTTGAAAAAGTTTGGGGTTTAATGGGCTCGGATTGTTTTCAATGTGTCATTGTGGATTGATGATGTAGCCAAAGTATACAGAAGCTATTTAACTTCAAAAGATAATGGGTTACTAAGTTACTGCCATCTTGCCGTCTGCTTCTAGCCATCTTGTGGGGTCGAAAAATACAGAAGGGTTACAATCACAATAGCACAGATGGTGTAGCATCGAGTGCACAAAACACAGAATGGTAGTCGAACTTCGCCTTGGCATGTATTTATTCAGGCTGTGGTCCTACCATGCACATTGTCAGATTTCTTCTGAAATTTTCTTTTGGTTTTTGGTTTCTAAACTATCGCCAGATGTATTCTATCACTTACTGGTAAATAAGATTCACTAAATAAAAAATCATAAAATTTTGAATGACTCCTACCATGCAGTTCTGTCCTTTTTAACATGCATTTAACCTGGGGTATGATTGTCCATGCGTTTATCATGGGGCATATTGTTCCTGCGTTTATGAAGTGGCATATTGTCCCAGTGTTTAACAGGGCATATTGTTCCTGCGTTTATGTAAGGGCATATTATCCAAACGCAAAGCATGGGTCATATTTCCCTATATTTTGCATGGGGCATATGAATATTGGTTTAAAACAATTATTGTAAACCAATGTCAGTGAATTGTCACTTATGTGTGAGAGAAATGTCTGATTTTTTTTTAATCCATAATTGAACCATTATTTATTGGTCTAATCAGTTTGTTTATTAAAGGATAGATCTGATAATTTACTGGGAAATTTATCAGTTGAAATGAAGATGTGTTGAAATACAAATAGATTAACAAAATTCATTAAACAGTATTTGTGGTTGGTCTGCTGTGGGTTCCTTCTTCTTTGAAGAGACATTCTACCCACAGGCATACAGGACTATTGATGTGGGGTTTGGCAACTGGCATTTCTCAATTTTATCCCTCAAATATGAGTTTCAAAGTTATTGTTAAAGCTATGAGATGCTTGGTACTATAGATTAGAATATTGATGATTCTGGTTAGAAATTGACATGAAGTGAAATGGGGTTTAACATCCTACTTGTCTTCTCTGAACTAGGCTAATGATGACAGGCATATGCCATACAGTGTGCTATGAGGAAATTTTGCCTGGACAGCAGTACTACGGCCTATTCTTATATCGAATTCCAACTGTCAAGAGTTATTTTACGTTCACGCCAATGTGTACACGGGACCTCGGTTTTTCGTTCCATCCGAATGACTAGACAGCTGTCCTTGTCAGGCTCTCCATCCTGCATCACTGACAAGGGGGAACCACGCCGGAAAATCTGGATAAACTTCCTCGGCCAATGCAGGGATCAAACACGCGACCTCCAGGCTAGCGAGCCAGCGTCGGTTTGAATTTGACCCCTAATGTTAAAGCAGTGTAATATGTAATAAAATGGGGTTTAAAACCTTACTTCTCTGCACCAACAGGGCTCTGATGAAGATTAACAGCAATTTTGCCTTGACTTTGGCGTTTCTATCAACACTTCAACAAATTTTAACTGCCAAGGGTTCTTTACATGTGACCTTAGTTTTTTGTCACATCCTAACGACTAGACACAGAATTTTTGCCGTTTCGATCAACTCTTCCTCAAATTTTAACTACCAACGGTTCTTTTACGTACATGTACATGCCAACATGTACATGCGTACTTTTATTTTTTATCCCATCCCAACAACTATAGACACAGAAATTTTGTTTTTCAAATGTTGCTTACTATTTCTGGCGTGAAAAAAAATTTTTAAATGAAAAAGTACTTGTTGCTCTTTTCTTTTGAATATTGAAATTTATTGAAGCAAAAAATAAAAAAAATGTTCACAGGACACCAAGGAATTTGATTTGGTCTAATTTATAATTTGTAGTTAACAAAAAATTGATCAGAATGTCTCTTTAAGCTTTGTTTTTATTTTATCTGGTTTGGTTTTGATGCTGACTGTTATCTATAAGTAGTGCTGTGTGTTGTTATCAGGCCAGGTGAGGTCTGTCATGGTTGCTTGATCAGGGTACCAAGCAGAACAATCACTGTCTAGAACTGACCAGTTGAGATCTGTTATGGTGGCTTGCTCAGGATAAATAGCTCCAAGCAGAACAGAGAGAGAGAGAGAGAGAGAGAGAGAGAGAGAGAGAGAGGTCATTTCAGGACTAACACATGGTTCAATTTTATTTCAATAATTCACTTGTGCATAGGGGTCTTTAGCAGTGGGAGGAATCCAGAAGACCTGGAGAAAACCCACGAGGTTGGGCAGGTGACCGTATTTCTTGTCTCTTACAACCAGAGAATCAAAACCATGGCAGTTGACTCATTGACAGACTTTATGATACAGCGCACAGGCGCTAAACATTCTGCCATCCAACCCCCCAGGTGAAGTCAGGAACAATCTCCATCTAAAATTGACCAGAATAATAAATGAATGAATGAATGATTTAACGGCCTACTTTCCTGCATAAAAACAGGCTAATAAAAACGGGCATACACCATGTAGTATGAGTGAAATTTTGACTGGATAGTAATTGAATTCCAACTGTCCACTTGGCCAACTGTCTGCAATCTCGACTTGGTTTTTCTTCCCATCTGAATGACAAGATGCTTTTCCTTGCCATGCTCTCTGTGCACCATTGACAAGGAGAAGTCACCCTGGAAAATCCCGGGAACTTTCTCGGCCGATTCCTGGTTAGTGTGCCAGTGCCTTAATCATGGAGCCAGAATAACACAATTAAAGGAAAAGCTTCAATTCAACACAAAATGTCTGATGTTATATCTAAAAGCTTATTTCAATGAAATCCTTTCAATCTTTTTTTACGCTGGATTCTGCGTTCATTCCCAAGATTTTAAGACCGGAAAGTAGAAATTCATTTGGTTATAGATCTTACTAACAGACACATTTCCGTGACCATTTATTCCGACAGTGTGGCATTATTCTTGGAGTGTTTTTTTTCCGATGTGGCGATTAACTCTCACAAAGCAACAACATTTTGAGGTAAATATTTTTAGATCTACTTTAGGATCACCGAATTTCCATGAGCATTTATTCCGACAGTGTGGCATTATTCTTGGAGTGTTTTTTACTGACGTGGCGACTAACTCAGACAAAGTAACAACATTTTGAGGTAAATATTTTTAGATTTACTTAAGGATCAACAAATTTCTGACAGTGTGGCATTGTTCTAGTTCATGGGTTTTTTCCTGATCTTGATAAACACTTTTCAAAGTTACAGCATTTTGGGCTATTTATCAATGGCAGAAAAATTCCAGACAAAATTCACTGGTTTAGAAATATTGTGGGAATCGTATGTCATTTATCAACCAGAACAGTTAATATTTTTCTCTCTTGCGGACGACGGAGGGAAATTTTTCGCTGGGAGATACAATAGATTAGACAGGAGAAGTAGGTTTCTAAATACAAGCTGAGGATATGGAGAATCAATGAAGTGCTTATTGATAAGACGTGTTGACAACTCCTTATTTCTAACGCTATTCATATTCGCTATTCAGGAGACCACTTCTGATTGGCTTGCAGACCAATCGCGTGGAATTAGACTTCATTTGCAGGTCCAATATTAAATTAAACAAATAAAGAACAAGTGGAGGCCTGTGGCCGCGAATACCAATGAGAAGAATTCTTAAAAGCTAGTCAACAACATTTCTATTCACTGGATGGTGCTTTAGTCGAAGTGGTTTTACTGATCGCAATTTAAGGCCCTATTCTCGAAGACGACTTTTTTTTCTCGAGAGCTTTTAACTTCTCTTTATAGGAGATCTGTTAGTTAGATAAATAGTTGTCTAAATCTGGCCGTGATTCATTCGTTGTTCCTAACTACTCACAGTTTATCAAAACTTTACTTTCTTTGTCTGATTGAATTGAGCGAAAATATTTAGACTTTAATGATAATGTTGATGTTCTGCGAGATTAATGGTGCAACAATAACCAAGGTAAACACATTCTAATGGATGATATAGACCAATCGTTTATTTGCTGTCAATAACGTGTTTTTTTCTTGTCACCGATCCACGGCTTTATATTTACCCTAGTCTGAGATTTGACAAATAAAGGAAAGAAAAGAAAAGAAAAAAATTGAACTTTTGTTATTCTTGTGGATGTAAATGTCACATGTCGTAAATATATTAATTTTTCTAAAGTAAATAAAAAATTTTTATATTATTTGTTATGATTTGATTTTTTTTTTATAATAATGTTCAATACAGCTTTAAGAAAAGAACTGCACATTGAAATTATAATGAAACAAAAAGAATTGTTACTACCGCTTTAAGAAAGAAAGTTGAAAATTCGAAATACATGAATTTACAAAAGAAATAAATGAATTTTTTTTAAAAGTAAAATACTTTTTTTATTATTTGTTATCATTTGTTGTTTTTCATAATAACTTGTCAAAAATAATGTTCAATACAAATTTAAAAAAGAAAGTTAAAAATTTAAATACATGACTTAACAAAAGAATGTATCAATTTTTCAAAAGTAAAATAACTTAACAAATATTGTTCAATACAGCTTTAAAAAAGAGTTGCTAATGGATATGACTTTTACAATACATATTAGCCGTGGGAAGCAAGTTTTCATCTTTTATAAACTTTCATAATAACATGTTAAAAATAATATTCAATGGAGCTTTAAGAAAGA